ACAAAGGGTTGTTTTCCTCAGCTGGGCTGGGGCAAGAATTTCACTAGATGCCCTGGTTCGAAAGCTGATAACCAAAAACAGTTATTGCTTCTCTAAACAATTAAGCTTCTTTGTTCCCCCTCCCAAACTGGTCCCTTTCTAATTAGCCAACCATGTAGACTATGAGCCCAAAACCTGCCCAATTCAGGGGCAGGAGAGGGACAGCATGGCATAAGATAAAACCCTTGTGGACTTCATGCCCAATGTGCTTGCTTTTTAGACTTTCTAGTGCTTACCAACCTTCTGCAGAAGTAAATTTTGCCCAGCCTATTGACTGCTGAGTAGTGTTGTCTCTCTTGTGACACCCCAATGTCTTAAAGATATTTCTAACTCTTGGCAAGTAAGTGCCCAACCTGATCCCAGTTCCTAGCCTAGAGGGATGCAGAACCTTAGAGAAGAGGGCCACTTCTTAAAATTTATAAACATATACTTGTTTTATAAGATTGTTTGTATCTTATAACCCAAAATTTAAAAAGTGAGTTTCTTTTTTTCCCAATTTTATTTTCACCTGTATTTCATACCCCAGGATTAACTAATATCAACATTTTGACATATACCCTACCAGACCTTTTGTTACGTATTGGCAAAGAAGAAAATAAGTAATTGACTTTTGAAAGAAAACTTACCAAGGGACCATTTTCTATATATGGGTCAAAACCTTTTCCTCTCTTTTCAGGTATCACAGATACGTTTTCATGTTAGCATACACAGATCTACCTCATCATTCCTAGGAGTTATATTTCCTACTATGGTTATGCCATGATTAAATTAAGCATTCATCATAGGAAATTTAGATTTGTTCTCAATTTTCACTATTACCAATAATGATCAAAGAACATACTTGCTCCTGCATGCTTGGGTTCATGTCAATTGTGTCTGGAGGAGAGATTAAGACCATCTAGGTGAACAATGTATGAACTTGTAGTGGGAGAGAGATAGCAAAGCCACCAACAGATTAAAGAAAATTGTCAGTTTAGTTCTAGCTAGAGCTTTTGAGATTCCTGTTGAGCCATCCACAGTGCTGATAAATTCTGGTTCTCTTGCATCTTGTCTTGTCTAAACATTTCCACTTCAATATTTCTAGTTTAGTAAGTGCATTTCTTTGAGCTATTCTAATAGGAAGGACTTAGACTGAACTTCATTCAATTTTTCCTCTTTCTATGTCCAGTAGCTGCCCCAGCTCTGTGCAAATCCTATCTGGATAATTGTTCCAATCTATGCACAAAAACAGCTTATTTTTTTAAATTCTGGCATTTTAATTATTCATCCATACTTTAACATCTGTGTTTAATTTGCCAAAGTGATTACACATCAGAATACTTCTTTTTGTTCTGATGGTTAAAAACAAATGAAGCCCCAAAGAACACAATTATGCTACTCACAACATTGAATTCCTAACATGAAGCGGATTTTGACCCATTACCAAAGGCCTTAGATGAATTAAAATAAAAGCAGCAGTGTTCAGTATAATGTTAAAAGTAGGGGGAAGTTTCTAGAGAGACTCTTAGAACTCTATCACAACAACCTGCCAAAGAATGTTGCATGTGTTTACTTGCTCTTGGCTATTCAAGTTCCTTGAAGGAAGGAGTTCCGTTGATCATTTCTGTATTATCTACATTTGACAGTGTGTTTGTCACCAGGTATGTGCTTAATAAACATTATTGAGTAATAAGCTCTGCTTTAAAACACCTCCTAACCTCAAAGAGCAGCTTTCTACCATATCAGGACATAGAAGAAACCCTGGTAGCTAGTGAAGCAACTAATGGAGACACAGGAATCCTACAATTGCAAACAACTTGTGAGATGTAGCAGCCTGTCCAACCAATATTGCCACATCTGTCATGTAGTACATACACTCATCCTTGGGTCCAGTAGTTCCCAACACTTCCATGGGCTCCCAGGAATCACCTTGAGAACTTTAAAAATACTGATCAAGCTCTAAAACCGCATACTGTATGGTTCAACAATTCTATTGTTAGGTATAAATGCAAGACAAGTAAAAATATGTCCACACAAAGTTTACATTTGAATATTTTAAGACTTATATGTAATAGACTCAAACTGGAAACAACTCAAATGTTCACCAGCAGGCTAAGGTATACTCAATAAAATAAATGAATCAAACAACATTATGCTGAGTGAAAGAAGCCAGATATACACAAAAGTACAAGTTGTATGATTCCATTTATTATACAATTTTACAATAGGCAAAACTAATCTATAGTGACAGCAGATCAGTGGTGACCCAGAGCAGGGGATGGGAAAACTGACAACAAAGAGCCATAGTGATAGAAATGCGCCATGTTTTGAAATGGTGGTAGTTACATGGGGATAGAAATTTGTCAGACTTCACTGAACTGTACATTAAAATGGTTGCAATTTATTTTATATAAACTGTACCTTGAAATACTTAGATATTCTGAAAGAATTAGAATGAGTCATGACCTTGGCTGGCATATTTTAAAGCTCCCAGATGATTTTAATATAGAGTCCCTTTGGAGAACCACTGCTCTAGGGAATTATGCCAGAATTTTGGGTGAGGTGGGACATACACTATAGTTTGAAAGAATCCCCAGAGGATATTCACGGATGACTTCTAGTCACCTTTGAGACTGTAAAGGACCAGATTTCCCATTATAAAGAGCAAAATATCTGTAGCTAATATTTATATTTAGTTAGAACCTTTAACTAGAGACCCTAAGCCAAGACAATTACATGTATTATTTTATATAATTCTCACAAAAGCTGTACAAAGTTGTATTACTGTGCCTGTTTCCTCTATGAAGAATTTCAGAGCAAGAGAAATAAAGAAATATGTCCATGTCATACACAGAGGAAAAAACTCAGGTCCCAGCTTCATTTTTCTGACTCTAAAGCCAATGTTCTCAACCTCTACAAGACTCAACTGGATGATCTAGAGACACAGCCCTGGCCCTGTAAACACTGTGGAGGGATGGGCTATGGGGCAGAACTCCCAAAAACATGGAGTTGAAGCCTCTCCTAGGGTGTGGCATCCAAGACCTGTGCTTCCTTGTCCTCCACACTCCCACCCCAAACTCCCAGATTTCCTTGTTTTTCTGTATTTAACTCTCTGCACTCTAGGCTTTTTGGGACTGTCAGCTGTTGAGGTAAATATAGGAAGAAGCATTCTTTCTAGCAAACACTACATTTCAGACAGAATCTAAGCAAATGACCAAAATGGTTTGCCAAGGTGTTTAAATTATCATAAAGTTAAGTTCTGTGGATTTATTTTTCATTAAACTCAGTGCTAGGCACACTCTAAGCAATTTACTTGTATTAATGTATTTAATCGTCACACCACCACTGTGGAGTAGGCACTCCTGTCTCCATAGTTTGATTAAATGGAGAGAGAGAGAGAGAGAGAGAGAGAGAGAGAGAAAGTAACTGAGACTGGATCAGGTAGTCTGGCTCTAGAATCTACACTCTTTGCCTCTGTATTATTGTACCACTTACTGTGTTTGATTTTATCTGTGCATTATTTCATGCACATTAGCATCTTAAAAACTTTTGCACGGTGGTCAAAAACCTAATACCCAGTTATATTTGATATTATGAGGAAATAAATTTCAAGTTCAAATAACATTTTTTCTAATTAACTTGGCACCTTTTACATAAATCACTTAGGTTAAATATATCATGATCCATATATGGGCATATATATGGTTTTTTGAGACTGGGTCTTGCTAAGTAGCTCATGATCTTTCTGCCTTAGCCTCCCAAGTGCTAGGATTATGGGCATTTACCACTGTGCCTGGCATTTCCATATTCTTATAGAATTTTAAATGAAAGCAATAATTCTCATGAGGACATGAGAATGCTGTAATTTTAGACTTCACTCATATCTTAAATTCAATCTTTGTCATTGTGTGAAACTGGAATAATTAGTTCCTTGATTCCCTATTTTATAAAAACAAAAAGGTCACATTAAATAAAAAATGAGAAATGCATGGCCCTTGTGCTTTTATTTTCTGCATTCTTTTTTTGGGCTTGTGTTTGATCTCAGAACATTAATTTGTTCACAAAGTCCTCCAGGCAGCCACAGCTATTGTCAGAGATGGAAAGTGAAAGGAAGACTACATGATCTCTAAATTTCCTCTTAGTTTTCCAAAATTGATCCGTAAAATGCAACACAATATTAGCATTGGCCAATGCAGTTCAGAGCTAATTTGTCTGTATCTTTATAAATCTGAAATAGGTAGGTGGAGGAAGAATCCCATTAAGTTTGGGTTGAGTATCTCATATTCAAAGTGCATGAGACAGACTTGTTTTAGATTTTGGATTTGTGGGGGAGGGTTTTGGAATATGTGCATAGACTTTATTAGTCAAGCATTCTTAATATGAAAATCTGAAGTCCCTAATGCTCCAAAATTGGAAACTTTTTGAGAGCTGACATGATGATGTTCCAAAGTTTTGGATTTTGGATTATTTCCGATTTCAGATCTTTGGAACAGGGTTGTTTAAGATTTTATACAGATGTAAGATTTTATAACTGGTTCGAAAGAAAAAGATTAGTCCAATAGGAATTTGGTTATATAAGTGGATGTATTACACGTTTACATGTGTACATACCTACATATTACTACTCAAAATTGTATTAGCATAATGACTATACATTTTAAGATAGGAATAAAAATAGTTGTTTTATCTGATGCCCCAAGAATCTTCCACACAGGTGTCTGCAATGTAGAAGGCTAAATTATTGTTTTAAGTAGCCTGATATTCCTAGATCAAGGGCATAAATAGCTCATCAAAAAAGTTTAAATTTGAAACATAATTTGCATCACAAGAAGCTTAAAACAAAATACTGCCAAAACTAGGATTCAAACTGGGGCTTCAATTAGAGAGTGACATGAAAAGAAAGATTTCCTTGGCAACAGTGATAGAAGCATACATGCAGATGGTAGGCAGTCTGTCACTAAAGAATGGATAGACAAATATACCTTAAGGAAGTTGTATAAAGCTTCTTGTACAGTTGAAGATGGTATTTTTCCAAACAGAGTAGCAGCCATTTTTTTCTCAATCCAACTGAGTTTTGAGATCTGCAAATACAGAGCAACATCACTTTTAGGAATGTATTCACATTTTGAATGGATAATGTCTCTCCAGTTAGATGTATACAAATACAAATACATGCATACAAATACAACACATATAAGGAAACATGCATACAATACAACACATATAAGGAAAAATACTTACCCATATATAATATATAAAAGATATCACCCTTGAGATATTAATATGTTGCCTTCCTTTCTCGTATTTCTAGCAAATCATACACTACAGAAGAACTGGTTTCAAAACCAACTTGAAGGGCAGAATGCTCAAGTGGTAGAGCATCTTGCTTAGTAACGGCAAGATGAGTTCAAGCCCCAGTACCACAAAAAATTGAATAATATGATAAGAGGGTTTGTCTTCAACCACAGGATGAGGGGTGGGTTGGAGAATAATGCTGATCCTGTTTGTTCAACCGATTCACAATTCTGAGATGACTGCAGAATTCTGCTTTGCCTTTCACGTAGTAGTTACAAGAACCTGCCTTGGCTCTCTTCTGCCTACTGTGTGCTGTCGACCAACCCCTGAATCAGTCATTATTCTCAGAAATGGAACTAGAATAAGGACACTCAACCCAGAGGAGTGCAGCAGGAGGACCCAGAATACATATATACAATCCAGGAAAATTTTTTTTATAAATCAATAACCAGCAAAACTAAATTTCCTATTATCATTTTTTGCTTTCTTTTTAATTTTTTTCATTTTTCCAGAATATGAATAGTAAATGTTTAGTATAAAGATGATTCAAAATGAACCCTTAAAAGGGTATCAGTGTAGTTGGTGCTCCCTAACCCCATCAATAATGGTTTTCTTAATCACATCTTCTAGATTTTTAGGTAGCGATTATCCTCTATTTAACAAAGTATTTGCATTTGTACATAATTTTACTTACCAACGTGCTTTTTTTTTGTTTTGAACTTTGTAGAAAAATACTATCATACTATTTATTCCATCTTGTGATGCGTTTTTTTTCACTTAACATTATGGCATTAAGATTTCATCCAGGTTGATTAATGTAACTGAAGTTCAATCATTTAAATGACTTTTTAAAATGTGAAGTTTAATATATTTCTCATATGTTTATTGTATGTTTTACATACACTTATTTTTCTGTCTTCTTGTTTTATTAACTACCAAGAGAGCTAGATGAAGTCTATGAGTGTATAGTGGACCTGTATACATTTATCTTCATAACTTGGTCAATTTTTATTTTGTAGTTTTGAAGTTATTAGGAGCATACTAGTTTTGAAATATTTTCCTGGTGAATTGAACTTTTAATTATTATACTGTTGTCCTCTGTCCACAGAGATAACTTTGCCTTACAATTTATGTGTTATGTGTATGTGTATGCACTCATATGTATCAGTTTTATTTTAGTTACAATTTGACTGCAAACATTTTTGCATATGCTTACTTTCTACAGCTCTTAATCATTATGTGTTTAAAAATCAGCTTTATTAAGGCATAAGCTACATACAAATTTATATACTAGAGGTGTACAACTCAATTAGTTCTCATAAATGCATACAATCCTAAGCCACCACAACAATCACTACAGAACATATTTCTATCACCCAGAAAAGTTCTCTTATGCCTCTTTTGTCGTCAATCTCCTTACCCCATTCCTAGCCCCAAGCAACTACTGATCTGTGGTTAGTCTAGCCTGCCTTTTCTAGAATGTCGCATCAATGGAACTTATGTAGTCTTTTGTAAGCCCTTTTGGCATACTGCTTTGAAGAATCATCCATGTGGTTATGCTGCTATGAGCACTCAGGTATTAGTCTGTGTGAAGATATATTTTCATTTCTCCTGGTAAATACTTAGGAATCACTGTACCATTTATTCATATATTTATTTTTCATACATTTCCATCATAATGTAAGAGCGTTCCAATTGCTCCTAACCTTGTTAACACTTGGTATTGTCAGTCTTTTTAATTTGAGCCCGTTTAGTGAGTGTACAGTGATTCTTCTCTTTGGTTTTGTGGGGAGAGGAGTATTGGAGTTTGAACTTAGTGCCTCATGCTTGCTAGGCAGACACTCTACCACTTGTCAGCCCTTTTTTGTGTTGGGTATTTTTGAGATAGGGTTTCACTTTTATCCCAGGCTGACCTTGAATCTTGATCCTCCTGATCTCTGCCTCCTGTAGTTAGGAATACAGGTGCGAGTCACCTGTGTCCATTGGTTTTTCTAATGACCAATGATGCTGAATATCTTTTCATATGCCACTCATAGAACTTTGTTTGTGAGGTGATTTAATTGACATTTTATCTGGAAAACAATCAAACATATGCACTTCTGTTACACTGGAAACCCTTTTAGCTTATTCCTTTTTGATTTCACTTTATGGCAATAGTTAGTGCTGGACAAAATACTGTAAATTTTATAAAGACTGCTTGACATTCTGGAGTAAAAGAAGAGCTCAGTCAAGTCCTGTTGTGAGTTCTAGCTTGACTCATCTCAGAGCCATGAGCTAATAGTTTATTTTCAGAAAACAGCTTTGAAATTTGCTCGTGCTCCTCACCTATTTTCTCAATTCCTCTTATTTAAAACAAGTACATTACACATAGCTGCTTAACATTCTGTATCCCATGTTTCCCAAATCTGGAGTCCAAATTTCTGTCCTTCTTTCATTTCTGTTGACTGTTGCTCCTATCCACTTATTTCCTTTTATAATCTACATTTTTTTTTTGACTGTGAGTTCATCATGGCTGGGATACTTCCTGTGAAAGTTTTATAAGGTACGGTCCTTAGGACAGGATTAGCATTTGCTTCTTCCATATGCATATGGCATAGAGATCAAGGCTCAATTTGAATCAAAATGTTTTTCTTGGTTTTTTAAAGTCTAAACAAATTATGCACACTCAATTCCCAGATGCCCATGAGGTCCAGGCAATGGTTTTAAATCTCAGGAGAATTTCCTCCCTTCACATCCATCATTCCCATCATCAAGGCTGAGAATGAACTGCCATTGCTATAAGCTTTTGCCGAATCAGCTTCATTTTTCCTAGATGTCCTAGATGAGTCCTAGATGTACTGTGGTAGTCCTCAAGCTGCTCCATTCAGGTCCATAGTTCCCCATTACTCACCCAAGTTTTCCAAACCAGGCTCAACAAATGCTTCTGGTTATCTATCTGGTGAGTTCTCAGGGCTGGTGCTCTTTTGTTTCTACTCCTCCTCCCCGTTTTTTTGGTAGGCTCTTCCACTGATCTAACTAGATACACACACACCACATATCCACAAACATTAAGATATTTTATGGCCCGAAAGTTTTGAGTTCTCTAGTTTGCATATGCTGGAACCAATCTTTCATACTTATTTATTCTTTAATACCTTTGCTAAAGCCCATTGTCCCAGCTGGAATGGGTTCCAACTTCCTTTTGCACAATTCATAATTATCAACTCCTCTTGCAATTTGCAGGAGAGTATACTAGTGAACAGCAAAGACTTTAGAAACAAACTACCTGTGTTTGAATCTTGTTCTGCCACATATTAACTGAGTGACCTTGGGTAAATAATTCACCTTGTAAGGTTGCTGAAAGAGTTAAATGAGCTACCATGGCACATGTTAGCCATTATTACTACTGCTTTTTATGTTTTTGATTTTCTGTATTTTTTCTTTGCTTTCAGATAATCAATTAATTATTCAAGCAAAATATTCTTGTGGAGATGCTGAAGTGGGAAGAACTGAGCTTGCTGCTGAAAAGAATACCAAGAAGTGTAAAATGTGGGCTCTCTCCTCAAGCAGTTTTCAAATAACTTGGCATCAACAGAAAATAAACATCAAGTGAAAAATGTGAATTGTTGGAGGCTAATATGATGTTAACAAAGGAACAGTATAGTTAACAGTGCAGTATTTCAAAGAACAGAGACATCATTGTACATTTTATAATATTAAACAGATCATTAAAAATCTGAGTGTTGTAATCATTCTTTTATTTAATTTTGCAATCTCATGGCTAGGACAAAAATGGGAAAAACAGGTGATATTATCTTTTCTTTTTTTCCCATATAGAAATGTACTATAAAGAACATTAATTTTGGAATTAAGAAAACTTGAATTCCAACACTGGCTCTTTCATAGACTAATTAATTGGAACCATGGGAAGATTCTTAACATCATGAAGAGTCAGATTCTTAATCTTTTAAAACTGGAAAGTGATAAATAACTGCTTCATAGGACTGTTCTAAAGATTAAATATAAGAAATAAAAAGCATAAAATGCTCGTGTGGCATGCTGTAGCTGTTCAATGAAGGCAAACTTCCTGTTTATTTCTAATCCTCTTTTTGGGGCTACGAATGTAGCTCAGTGATAGAGAGCTTGCCCAGCATGTGTCAGGTCCTGGGTTTGATCCTCAGCACCACAAAGATAGATAGAAAGGCAGGTAGGTAGTTAGGTAGCTAGATAGATAAATAGATAGATAGATAGGTAAATATATATATATATAATATAGACAGATAGATAGATAGATAGATAATCTTCTTTGGGCCTTAATTAAAAGTTACTGCTTTTGCTCTCCTGATTTTTTAATTTACAAATACCATTTCCCTGGCATGTTAACTTCATGTATATCTGCATATGTATTTTCACATTCTATTACTCTTTTGTAAATTAATAGCATCATTTAAGACAACAAGTTCTTAGGCTGATCAGCTTATTTAAGCTAGTTCAATGTTTCATGTCCCTTCTAAATTAAGTTGCCTAGAGAAGGAACACATCTGGGCCGGCAGAATGGCTTAAGCAGTACAGCACCTGCCTAGAAAGTGTGAGGCCTGAGTTCAAACTCCAGTGCTGCCAAAGGAAAAAAAAAAGAGCAAGGAACACACCACAACACACACATGCACATGTTTTAAGATATTTCATGGCCAGAAAATTGAATCATCTCTGGACAGTAAATGGGTACACAATTTATGGTCAATAAACACTGTTGGATTAAGAGAGGCCAAAGTATGGCTTTTAAAACCCCTTGGCAGGACAAGAAAAAAAATCTGTGTATGCATGATACTGCATACAATATATAAAATATAAGCTTATGTATTATGGAATGTAGACATTACAAATATTAAATCTATAGTATAAAACATATACATTATATGTTCATAAAAATTTATGCTGATTTTATAATGCTTCCTATAGTAGGCAGCAAATAAAAAATAAAAAAATGAGTAAATTACTGACAATGTACCATATACTCATAGTGCATTCAAATAAGATTTATAAATAAAGGCATTCAGCTTACAGTGTAGCAGTATCTTCCCTTGAGGTAATACAAAAAGGGTTCTTCAGGTAAAAGTCGGATTGCCACTTCCAGATGTTCCTGAAAGAAACATCCAAAGGAAAAGTCACCTTCCAAGTTTCAGATATTGTTGAATGGAACGTGCCAAAGCCTACTGAAGACGAAAGCAGTTTACATTGTCTCAGCAGTCTCCTCAATCCCTACCACTAGCACAATTACATATTAGTCATAATTTAATTATCAAAAATGCTTGCAACCAGAACTGTGATTATGACTTAACAAGGCTAAGCGTAATTTAAAATCCAAATGCCACAATCAAAAGAGAAAACATCCAAGTTAAATGTTTGCCCATCTAAGACTCTCCTAGAGAGGTTTACTGACTCCCGATGGCATGGAGTGAGATATAATGGAAGAAACACAGCAGATGAGAGAGGAGCCCAATTCCCCTGGCACTGCCAAAACAGGTAAGAGCTGCTTTCTCCCTCCCACCCCACACTGGGCCATCATAATTAGAGGTAAATAATAAATGGTGTGTGTCCAAATTACTTATGTTATTCATTCATTATAGCAAATTTAGGTTCTACGTTGTACCCTATTCTTCCTACCAAGTCAACATGCAGAGATTGATGACTAATTAGTCCCAGTCATATTTATGCTGTTGGTAAGCTAATGACCAAAAGACTAATCCTCTATCTTTGAAAAAATAGTATTCATCTACTATTTGAGTTCTTTCAGGATCTGGGATAATCATATTTCATCACCCAACTAGTTGATTCTTTTTGTCAAAGAACTAAGGAGTACCATTTCATTTCCTACTGTTTAAACAACGAAACAAGTCATTTCCTAGAGCTTACTTTGTTGAATAACTTCTCTCATACCTGTTAATTAAACATATGGCTACATTAAAATAGTTTTAAATATCAAGAAATACCTTGAAGTGATGACCATAGTTGATTTTGTTTTGTAAGCCCTCAAACTCAGATACACAGCCACACAAAACTGCATACCTGAAAAGGATAAAACACAGTGGCTATTATGTAAATTTTAACATCTACAAATGTCTTTAAAGCACTCATTAACATTTTATAAAAGTATTAATATAGATGCAGGGGCCCTAAAATAATAAATATTTGACATTAACATGAGGCCAGTTTTATCCCTCATAACTGGGCATACTAACACTCTTCTATATGTATGTCGTGAGGATAAAATGAACCAAAACATATAATGTGTTTGGAACAGTGCCTGGCTTGTAGGAATTTCCACAGATGTCAGCTGCTGTCATCATTGCCAACATCAACATCAAAATCATGAGGAGACCCTTGGAAAATCTAATCATGTGAGTATTAAATTGGAAAACATATTATGCCAACAAATTTACAAATTTAAAGACATTATTAGAATCAAATTTAAAACCCATTCACTCCTTAAAAATAAATGTCCTGACCTCCCTTAATATTATTGAAAATAAAAATAAAGATCATGACTAAAACCAAATAAAATCAAAGTTAATTTTAGAGGATGCTTTTGAAAAAAATTTCCCACCTCCCTCAAACCTTTCTGGAAATAATGTATTACTAAATGTATCTCATGGATTATTTACTTTTTTGGGAATACAAAATTTACACAACTATTTGACTATAAATTGGATACAATTATTTGTCCAGCAACTTCCTTATTTACTCTAAAAATGAGGATAATAAATGACCCAAACAATGTATGCACATATGAATAAATGAATAAAGGAAAAAAATGAGGATAAGTTATTTCTCACAAAGTGCTTCTATCTGTGTGAAAATCTCTAGACTATTTCAGAATGCTGCTGTCCGAGACAAAATATTCATTTTTAACTATTTTGAGAGCAGGTATTAATTTTTCTTGCATTGACATAATGAGATAAAAATATATTATTTATTATTCATCACAATAATTTCTGTGGATAAGCATAAATTCCAAGCACAAAAATGAAGGGAAAATTTCTTAATTTGAACACTGAGACCATTCCTAGCCATGAAGGATGACATAATTCATACTACTCATACACAAAGTGATCACTTTTCAGTTTTTATAAGCAATGGAATCCAGTACAGTAGAAGAGGAACAATCAAGTCAATGTACTAAAAATGATCTCAGAACATAACTAGACTAGGATATACTGCTACTCACAAATTCTATAATCAGACTGAATTTTATGTACTTCTCTATATACACCACAAATTTTTCCAGAGATTGAGCATTTAAGAATATCAGATCCTCAGAAAAAGATTCGAGTTCCTTTGTGAAAACTTCCCTGTTGCTTCATGCTTCACTGTTTGTCTTCTTCCTTCCTTCTTCCTTCTCTTCCTCTTTCTCTTCTTCCTCCTTCTTTTTAAATTAATAAACCTTATTGTCAGTACACTTTTGGGTGCACAGCAGAAATGAACAGAAGTACAGAAAGTTCTTAAATATACCATTCTCCCCCTTCAAAAAACATCCTCTCCCATTATTGACATCCCCTGTGTGGTAAATTTGTTATAATGAATTAACCCACACTGACACATCATTATCACCCAAGGTCCAAATTTACATTAGAGTTCACACTTAGTCCACACTTGGAATACATTCCATGAGTTTTAACAAATGTATAATGGCATGTATCGACCATTATAGTATCTCATAGAATAGTTTCACTGCCCTAAAAAAATCCTCTGTGCTCTGCCTATTCATCCCTGCTTCCCTCAAAACACCAAGCACTGGTCCTTTCACTGTCTTAATACTTTGACCTTTTCCAGAATGACATACAGCTGGAATCATACAGTTTTCAGTCTTTTCAGATTGGCTTCTTTTACTTAGTAATATGCAGTTAAGGTTCCTCAGTATCTTTTCATGATTTGACAGTCCATCTCTTTTTAATGCTGAATAGTATTCCATTTCCTAGATGTATCATAGTATAGTTATCTATTCACTTGCTGAAGGATATCTTGGTTGCTTCCAAATTTAGGCAGTAATGAATAAAACTGCTATAAACATTCATATGCAGGTTTTTATGTAGAAATAAGTTCTCAACTCCTTTGAGTAAATACCATGGAGCATGACTTGGATCTTATGATAAGAGTACATTTTTTTAAGAAATTGCTCAACAGTTTTTCCAAAATGGCTATACCATTAAACAATATTATCAGCAATGATTAAGAGTTCCTGTTACACTACATCCTTGTCAACACTTGTTTTTTATCAGTGTTTGGATTTTGGCCATTCTGGTAGGTGTATATCTTGTTGTTTTAATTTAAAATCCCCTGATAATATGATGTTGAATTCATATGCTCACGTGCCATCTGTTTATTTTTTTTGGTCAAGTGTCTGTTTAGGCCTAGTTCCATTTTAAAATTGTGTTTTTGTAGTATTAATGTTGAGTTTAAAGTATTCTTGGTATATATTGTATAAGACTCCTTTGTCAGGTGTATTTTTAAAAACATTTTTCTTCCAGTCTGTGGCTTGTCTTTTCACCCTCTTGGCACTGTCTTTCATGAAACTTTCTGATTTAGTGAGGTCTATTTTGTGAACTATTTCTTTCATGGACTGTGTCTTTGGTGTTGTATCCATAAAGTTATTGCACTTAACCAAGGTTACCTAGGTTTTCTCCCGAGTTATCTTCTAGGAGTTAGACAAGTTTGCATTTTACATTTAGGTCTATGATACTTTTTAAGTAAGTTTTTGTGCAAAGTGTAAAATCCATGTCTACTTTCCATCCTTTAGCATGTGGATGTAGAGTTGTTACAGTACTATTCGTTGAAAAAATTATCTTTGCTTTATCGTATTGTCTTTGCTCCTTTGTCAAAGATTATTTGACTATATTTATATTGACTTCCTATTCTGTTCCATTGATCTATTTGTTTATTCTTTTGCCAGTGTCACACTATTTTGATTACTACAGCTTTACAGAAAGTCTGGATGTCAAGTAATATTAATCCTCTTGCTTTGTTCTTCTTCAGTATTGAGTTGGATCTTTTTCCTTTTCCATAAAAGTTAAGTTTGTTGATATCCAAAAAATAATTTGTTGAGATCTTGATTGGGATTGTGTTCTATCTAAAGATCAAGTTTGGAAAAACTGACATCTTGAGAACATCGAATCTCTATCCAAGGACATAGAATATTTCTCCATTTATTTAGTTCTTCTTTGATATCTTTCATCAGAGTTTTATAGTTTTTCTCATATAGATCTCATACACATCTTGCTAGATTTTTACCTAGATGTTTCAACTTTGGGGATACTAATGTATCATTTTACCAAAAAAAAATATATTAATTGATTTTCTTTCTTTTTTTTTTTGGTGGTACTGGGGTTTGAACTCAGGGCTTCACACTTGCTAGGCAGGTGCTCCATCACCTGAGCAACTCAACCAGCCCTGTTTTTTGATTTTTTTTTTTTTTTTGCCATAGGGTCTTGCAAACTATTTTCCCTGAGCTGGTTTCAAATTACGATCCTCCTGATCTCTGCCTCCTGAGTAGCCAGGATTATAGATGTGAGCTGTTGGTGCCTGGCTATTAATTGATTTTCAAATGTTGAATCAGTCTTGCATATGCCATACCTCTAGGGGTAAATTCCACTCAGTCATGGTATATAATTTTTGAATACATTGTTGGAATCCAGTTTGTCAATATTTTATTGAGGATTTTTGCATCTATATCTATGAAAGATACTGGCCTGTAGTTTTCTTCTGCTGAAATGTTTTTGTCTGGCTTTGGTATTAGGGTAGCACTGGTCTCATAGGATAAATTACAAAGTATATCCTCTGCTTCTATATTCTAGAAGAGATTATAGAAAATTAGTATAATTTTTCCTTAAATACATGATAGAATTTACCAATGAATTCATCTGGGCCTGCAAATTTTTGGTAATTATCTATTCAACTCTTTAGTAGATAAAGGTGTGTCGAGATTGCCTACTCAAGATGGTCTTCTGAAATGCTCTCTGCAAATCGGTTATATCATTCCTCTCAAACAGTTCTAGATTGTTAAGTAATTCCAGTCCTCCCAAAAATTCCACACAACTGCACCCACAAACTCCATATTTTGTTTAGGGCATTATAACTTTTCATCTTGTTTGAATTTAAAACTTTAGGTCACTTGTCTTTTGAAATAGCTTTAGATTTTCAGAAAAGTTGCAGATAGTACAGATGGTTCCCATATATTCCACACTTAGTTTTCCCTATTATTAATATCTTATATTACTATGATACATTTGTCATAACTGTACCAATATTGATATGCAATACTGATATCAATTGTTACAGTAAACACTTATTAAAGTAACATTATTAGTTAAACTTCATTATTCATTATTATTGTTTTTCCCTAATGTTCTTAGGCATTTTTGACATTTCTCTCCCATAAAAAACCCATCATATTGTATTTTTAGAAATATCCATATTGGGTCTATTTGAACTTTACATCCTCATCTAGAGACTCTCAAAATAACTCAATTAACACTTTGTGCCAGAATCAAAGAAATAGATGGTATATAGCAATGGAATCAACTTTCTATTTTCTAAAAATCAGAATTGCTTATGTACATCTTTAGGGGACTACTGGGAGGAGAACAAGTGACGGGTGGTAGCAGGAAAAGAGAGGGTTAGGGGGTGGAAAATATGATCTAAGTACACTGTATATGTGAATGAAAATGTCCTAATGAAATCCACAAAAATTTGCAAGAAAGTTAAAAAGGATTGGGGGAGGAGGATAAGAAAGAGTAATGGAGGGGTGAATATGATCAAAGTACACTATACACATGTATGGAAATATCAAATTAAACCCCTCACTTTATACAATTAGTATATGCTAATAAAGATAAAGTCTAAAGTCTCATATAAGCATGTATTTATAACATATGTTTAATAAAATTGGGAGATCATAAAAATTCAAACTCATTAGAGTCTCTATTTTCAAAATCTTTTTTGAAATCTGCTTGTAGTTCTAAAATGTTATTCATCTTCTTAGAAATCATAAAATCAAATGTCACTTAGACATT